AATTTAGATTATTTTTTTGAGGCAAGACTTTATTTTAGGTGTGGTCTCGCATGAGATCCCGGGTATTTTTTAGGTTTTATTTGGTTGAATAAAGCGGCAGACTAGTCCTAGAAAAGAGCTACCTGTTCCCCTGCTTCTCATGCAAGAAAAACGGCAATTTGACTTTAAGTAGATCGTAGTCGTTCCTTGCCCTGTTCCACCGTTCAATTGTGGGCTGTGCTTGTGCACCTCTATCCATTTCACTCATTTTGTTTCTTCATTCATGTTTGATTTTATCACTCATTCGTCTTATGCTCGTCCGACCCAATCAATGGCCCTGCACTGCACTAGCTGTCCACGTGGTACAGGTCGACACTCCACAAAACAACATGAATCGTCAGACTAGTCATAGTGGGAGTAACTTAGCTAATAACATAGCGCGCTTCAATTTTTTTTTACTTACGTGACATATAGTTAATGAAAAATGGTAACATAATATATTATTGTAACATAGCGTTTCTCAAAACAAGATGAGTCTACAAGTTAATAAATGAAGTTCTCCATGATACTAGTACTTATGTTACTTTGCACTATAAAAATACTCTCTCTGCCCCATAATATAAGAACATTTTCGACATTACTGTAGTGTCAAAAACATTCTTATATTATGGGACAGAGAAAATAATAATTTAGACTAATATCATATATATGACACTAGTAAATTAAACATCTGATCTAGTCTAGACAACGGAGATGGACACGTCACCTGATCTGGACTTGGACCATCCACGTGGCACCGCATCACATCGGAATCAGACAAACAACGACAGAATTGTCGAATTTGCACGTGAGAAGTTACAGAGTGCTTGGGCTAAATCATTTGTCTGTTACTACCTTTCGAGAAATAACCCTCAAGGGATTGAGCCATATGAATGCACATCTGAAACTAAGTTTAGGCCTTGTTGATTCAAATTTTTGGTTTTTATGGAAATTTAACTGTTTTAGGCAAAATCTATAAAAAAAATACGAAAAGAAGGATTAGTCTGCTCGTCCGCCACCGCCCACCCCGGTCGTACATCAGTAGCTTGCATTTCAATTTGAGGCATGAAAACATATTTTTTGCTTTTTTATTTTCTTTAAAATCATTGGATACATATTCATTAAATCTTTGCTAGAATAGCAAGACAAAAAAACAAGAATCACAATTAGGCATTTTAGAAAATATCCAACTTCCATAGCTGCTTCCACTAGTTGGACAATATCTTCTTCATGCCTTCATTGTTGATATGTGAATTCTTGATCTTGCATTTTTTTATTCTTCTTCTTTGATTCTAAAGAAGCAGACGTTGTTTTTCCTCTAATTTCTTCTCTAATTGCACATGCAGCCGTGCATTAATCTCAGTTCTACCAACGAGTGCACGTACATCTATTAAGTTTCTTCATATCAATAAATCGATGTATTCTTCTTCCCAATACCAAAATTAGCATCCACCTTTCTACATATATGACCATATCAATAAGCTACCGAAATTGAACCGAATAGGTTGACAAAGCCGAATGAAAGCAAGAACATACCTCGTCGTTTTCGCTCGGGTTTTGTCGGGGTTGTGCGGGGTGCTCCCCGATCAATCCATGGATTGGCACAGTCACAGTGGCCGGAAACGCCAAATCCGGCGACCGCGACAAACAACCACCGCCAATCTACAACTTTCCGGCCGGTCGAGGCAGGAGGAAGTGGTGGAGGACAATCACGGGCGTGTGGCGGCCCGTCGGCCGGTATGGCCGGAATCATAGGTGGCGGCCAGACGACGGTGGATGGGGAAAGCGTGGGATGAAATGTCGCCCCCGCCAATCGCTTCCGCTATATACAGGGCATCGACGGGGCGAGGAAAGGGAAGGGGAACCTGCGTTTTCACGGATGGGGTAAGAATTTTGCCGTGTCCCAAAAAAATATTTACGGGTCCGACGCGTTTGCAGGGTCGGATCTGGTAGATTTTTTGCATGGATCCGTACTTTGACTAACGGTTACTTTACGAATCGGGGCATTATACGCGGTCTGCGATTTCCAATTATGGATCGGATGCTACAGTACAGTACTTGTATATCAGCTTCAGCATACCTCATGACAAGATAGTAAAAGAAGAGAGCACGGATTCTAATTTTGTTCCTTGCCCCGAGGGGAAGCATGTAGGGCCATATGTTCTGCTTTGGCCTAATTGAATTAGGGCACAATTACAGAAAGAACCTGTAATAATTAAACTATATCAAACTTGACCTTATCACCCTTATGTGAAGTCATGGCCTTTGGAGAACACACAAGCCATGGAGCAATCGTCCCGTGATGCATGATCATCTCAGCCCGTGGTCCACCAGCAGATTAATTTGTTTTCTATTACCAGAAGAAGTAGAACCAAAGAATTGCAAGTCCCTCTAAAAAACATGATATTTTGTAGGCTCTGTTTGAAGGATGGTTCGCCCGACAAAAGGCACGGTCAGAGTGTTTACGGAGAGAGCATTTTTTTTAAACTTTGCTAGTACCATCATTTAGGAGTAGGCGACAGTGACGTGTTTAAAAAGCGGCAAGCGGATGAACCAAGTGTTTCAATATACACGTGAATCTACACGTACAAAGTTTAGTTTTCACCGCATTGTTGTAAACTCAAAAGAAAATGTAATTTTCTCAGCAGGACACATGGTGTTAGTATAGCCAACCAAAAACAAAATATTAACCTTCCCACAAAACAAAACGTCTTACAGTATTCTTTTTAGAATGACGGGGGGCAGGGGCCCCACTGGTTGTTATATTACTTGAAGGACTTGGCAATTATATAGTGTTTTTCATCGAAAAGATAGAAAACAAGAAGCTAAGAAGCGAAAAAACAAAAATGAGGGAGAAAAGCTATGAAGACCAGAGAAAGAAAATGCAGAGCGAAAGAAGGCGACTCTGGAAGTGAGCGTCGCAATGTCGGTTCCATAACAGGGGGTCGTCAGCCATCTTGTTGAGGATGTCGCAAGCACGACATCCGATCACGTTGAAAGTGGCGTTGTTGCGAGCCTTCCAAACCTACCCGTTTAGCACAAAGAGCTCGTCCTTCAATTAGGCGGTTGTGGCTGCTGGCGGCGTCGTCGAGGAGAGAATTTCCTCGACCGAGAGGAAATGACCTATCTGAGAGGATCCCATGTAGAGGCGACGCGACTACAAACGACGAAGATGTGGGCGGTGGACTCCTTGGGCGGATAGGTGGCACATGTGCTGGAGGGGGCACAATCCTTCGCATGCAGGTTTGTCCTGGTGCTGAAGCGACCACAGAACAACATGCAAACGAAAATTTTGATCTTCCTTGGGAGGCTGGAGCTCCAGATGTCGATGAAGGACTGATAGAGCACCCCGTTTGGGGACAACAGACGGAGCACGACGCGCGAGCTGAACTCGAGGTCCTCCCCCCAAGCCATGAACCGACGGTCCGGGGCATCCACCAACTCAAGATCACGAAGGAGAGCCTGCGCCTCCACAAGCTGAGCAGCAGCGACGGTCGAGAGGTGTCTCTGGAGATGAATGCCGTCGACGATGACCGTCACCACCATGGCGTTGGGGCGCGTAGAGTGAGAGAAGAGTGTCGCGTACTCGAAGCAGAGAGCGTCGCCGGGCCGCTAGCGGTCATGCCAGAAGGAGGTGCTGTGTCCATTCCGGAGATCCACGCGAGTGATAGCCCTGTATGTTGGGAGACCCCGCGAACGATGACCTCGAGGAACGACATAGCAGAGTGGTTCCCGACGTCCCCCGGTGATGTCGGTGAGAAACCAGCTCTTTCAAGGCGGGGCAGTCGGGGTGGTGAAGTTTGTGGACGAAGTTGAACAGTAGGCACATGTCCTGTCTTATAAAAAAAATTGAGATGTTGACCAAGCGATATTTGTAATCATCCTAAGCTGGATTGGAATTCCGGACTGAGGCCTCCTTTGGTTTGTAGGATTTTCATATGGTGGGATTTTTATAGAAAAAATTCCTATGGAGCTATTTGGTTTCTAGGAATGGAATCCTATTTCTATGGAGGAAATCTTCCTATCCTCCATATTTCATAGGAAAAAAAACATTAGTCTAGACTCAATGAAAAAAATCCTATGAAGTGAATCAAAGAACATCTCCTTTCCTATTTTTACTCGTAGGATTTGAGATGCATGTATCTCATTTTCTATGATTTTCCTATCCTATGAGTAAATGTGAAGGATATGAAGAATTTCTTCATAGAAATAGGATCCCATTCCTCCAAATCAAAGGACTCAAAAAAAAATTTCTATGAAAATCCAATCCTATAAAATTCCTTAAAAAATCTTCCGAACTAAAGAGGCCTGAAAAGGCAAGCCACACAGGAATACAGTTTTAGACGCGGGGCTGATTCGTGTCTGATCCGGTCACGGGCCGTATTTGCAAATTCTGTATTCTGCAGGGACAGACACGCAAAAGCGGTATCCCCTCCCTCAACGATTGGGTTTGCCTGCATTAATTTCTCCCGTCTGCCCTCCTCCTCTTCTTCTCCCAGCTGCGTCGTCGCCCACACGATCCACCAGCACCAGCACCTCCCCCTCCCCTCCCCCTCCTCGCCGTCTCCCACCGATCCCAACCCGAGGTGCGCTCCCTCCCCTGCTCTCGAGCCCCCCACCCCCGGTCCCGCGGCGAAGCTCGCTCGCCTCGCGCCGCGCCGCGGGCAGCCAATCGCCCCCCACTCCGCGCGGGGAGGCTAGGTTCGTCCCGTCACGCCGTTACGGGCGTCGAATCCGAGATCGGGATCGAGATCTGCCCCCAATGCCTAGATCTGGGTCTAGGGGTCGCGCGGAGGCCCCGCGTTGCTCCTGAATTTGGAGCGGCGGGCGCGATTGGCAGACAGCTCGCTGTGTATTTCTTTTTGTCGGCGGGATCGGGGCGATCCGCGTTGCTTGAACAAGCGACGCGGATCGTTTTGTGTGTTGATTCTGACGGCGCGGTTGGTGATGCTCTCCGCAGGTAGCTCTTCGTTGGGTTCAGCATGGGCCCGGTGAAGGAGGGCGCCGACATGGAAGAGGGAACCCTGGAGATCGGCATAGGTGAGTCGTCGAACACATCTCGTCTAGTGTCTCTTTCTGCTTTAGCTTTGTGTGCCCAGCAGTGGTCGTGCCGCGCTGTTGCCTGTTGTCGTCGGGTAACTGCCATTGCAGCCCGTCAGCACTTGCATTGTGGCGCCAGCTTTGGATAGGAAGTTTGAGATGCCGACTTCCGTATATGTAAACGAGCTTAGGCTACAAGATAAGGGACCATTTGATATAATAATATAACTCAGCCATATAGCTTTTGCTGGAAATCCATAGTGTTCCAACAGAGAGGGACCTAATCAAATTGTAGACGAAGTTTGCTTTTTGTAGCTTTGCAGTTTGTTTTTAACTATGCAACATTATGCTCCTTGCACTATGCCAATTCTTTTAGTCTACCGTTCATTTTTTTCTTTCTAATGTTAACCTTTTTGGAAGCTTCATTCATAGCAAAAAGTGCATTCCGCTAAGTACAATTCATTGTTATCAACGGCATAGGGTCAAAGTGTACATACTAGTACTGCTGCTAGAAAAGCATTCTTTTCAGATGACCGAACAAAGACGGTGCTTACTAAACATTTACTTATGCAGAGTACAGGACAGTTTCTGGTGTGGCAGGACCTCTGGTTATCTTGGACAAAGTAAAGGTGTGTATGTTTTTCTAATTTGTGCATCTGTTAGCATATTCCCACATTTTTTACCGGATTATTCTAGTAGTTCCTTTTTCTTACTATTTCATTATTGTCATTATGGTCTATAGGGCCCAAAATACCAGGAGATTGTAAACATCCGATTGGGAGATGGCACCACCCGGCGTGGTCAAGTTCTGGAAGTTGATGGTGAAAAGGCTGTCGTGCAGGTTAATTAATATTCTCTTCTGCATTGTTTTGATGAAAAAAATGTTCAGTCTAGTCTCTTTCTGAAGTAATACCATGTTATGTTCTGATTTGATTTAGTAATATGGTTAGTTTAATTTCATTTTCGAGTAAACTTTAGACTGCCCTTATCTATGTTTATCTGAACGGATTGGCTGTTTATACAGGTCTTTGAAGGCACTTCAGGAATAGACAACAAATACACAACTGTTCAGTTCACAGGCGAGGTAAATGCCCATTATCCACAACTCTCTTCTTGTCTCTTTATTGTTTAAATGCTCTCTAAAAGGAAGCTTTTGGTTGGCCACTGTTATAGTATGATGAACTGATGATGAGGACATTCATTCTTGAAAATGCTAAGTCATGCTTATTGTTGAGTAAGGAGGCATCACAACTGCATACCACCGGAATGGGATAACGTGGACAAGCCCACATTGAACTATGAGAATGAAATTTAAAATAATATTGTCTGCCTTCCTGTTTGTATATGAATATGAAAGCTGCCACTTTTTGTTGCTTACTTATGGTATGCTGCTTCTGTGACAGGTCCTGAAAACTCCTGTATCGCTTGATATGCTTGGTCGTATTTTTAACGGCTCTGGAAAACCTATTGATAATGGCCCCCCGATATTGCCTGAGGCCTACTTGGATATCTCCGGTAAGTGCTTTCTCAGTTCAAGGATACTGTTATTTAAGAGCTTCATGGTTAAGTGTATGTTCATTGTTCTTTATAGGACAAAATTAGAACTATGAATGGTGTTAAACTGTAATCATTTTTTTACTTCTGATAGTTATGTATTGTTACTTATTTCAGGAAGTTCTATTAACCCAAGTGAGAGAACCTACCCAGAGGAGATGATTCAAACAGGGATATCTACAATTGATGTCATGAACTCCATTGCTCGAGGGCAAAAGATTCCTCTCTTTTCTGCTGCTGGTCTTCCTCATAATGAAATCGCTGCTCAGATTTGTCGTCAGGCTGGTCTTGTCAAGAGGCTGGAGAAAGGAAAGCATGCAGAGGTAACCATCTCTTTGAAAGAGACCATTTTTGCAACCGTGGCCAAATCATAGCTTGTTGATTGATCTGATTTCTTTGATGTACCAGGGTGGTGGTGAAGATGACAATTTTGCTATTGTGTTTGCTGCTATGGGAGTGAACATGGAGACAGCCCAATTCTTCAAACGTGATTTTGAAGAGAATGGTTCAATGGAGAGGGTCACCCTTTTCCTGAACTTGGTATTTACATTCTACTTGTTAACCAGACTTTTTCCTACCGCAAGACAAAAATTATTACTGCATATATAGCTATAATTTGTATTTGATAATTTTTTAGTTGTCTCCTAAACAAGATTTGACTCGGTCAATGCCAAACAAAACATAATTTAACACTCTGCTCTTGTTTGTCTTTTAGGCAAATGACCCCACGATCGAACGCATCATCACCCCTCGTATTGCGCTAACAACAGCAGAATATTTGGCATATGAATGTGGGAAGCACGTTCTGGTCATCTTGACAGATATGAGTTCATATGCAGATGCACTTCGTGAGGTATTGCCCTTGATATTTCATCAACTAGAGCATGATTTCATTGAAGTGCATTTTCAAATCAGCTCGCTCTTCCTTGGAGTACTTCTTGTCCTGATGTTTTGCCAGTGACCTGAATAGTTAATGATTTTTTAAGGAAAGGATTGATAAAATTGTATAACCTTATTGCACACTAAAATGTCGTCCATCTAATTGCAAAAATTACTGCTTGAATGAACTAAAACTTGAAACTGTCTTGTACAAAATGCAGTACAAACTGAAGTGACAGAGTTTGGTCGTGATCTGGTGTTGAAATATCTTATTTTTCTTTGTTAATCACACCACTGCCAAACGGCCATACAGTGTTAGTGTTGAAAACAGAACCTTGACGTTTCTATTAACTTATAACATTGTTTTGTAGTTTTCTCTATCCAGTAAGTTGTAAGATTTCCACCTTGATAGTACTGCATTTGGAGTATATGTAGTAACTTTTATGCTCAACTGTAATAATTTTGCACTTGCTGCCGTAACAAGTCAGTAACCCACTTCTGCTTATGTGTAGGTATCAGCAGCCCGAGAAGAGGTGCCAGGTAGGCGTGGTTATCCTGGATATATGTATACTGATCTGGCAACCATTTATGAGCGTGCTGGGCGTATTGAGGGAAGAACAGGCTCCATTACCCAAATACCCATTCTAACTATGCCTAATGATGGTAAGTAGTGAATTGCTTGCTCTATTCCTTGTAGCACCGGCAATTGTGTTATGAACATGCTATAAACTTGACGTGCAATAGATTAAAATCAGCATGTTGTCTGTTTGTGTTTGACCATTTTGCTGAGTCCTGAGTGTGATACAATCTAGCTTGAGTATCTGAACACTCTTGTTTGGCGGACTAACATCAACTGCAAATCTGATTGCATTTAGGCCAATCATTACTGCACATTCCATTTTATTGACCATTTTACATATGAATGCAATGACCATGGAGTGTCCTTTTCCCTCCAAACAGATATCACACATCCAACTCCTGATCTCACGGGGTACATTACTGAAGGACAGATATACATTGACAGACAGCTCCATAACAGACAGGTACTTTCACTTGTTCTTTTACTTCTGGAATACAGCTCTTTACATTCAGAACCCGTAGTAATTTCTTTCCCTTCTTAATATTTTTCTCAATGTTTACATGATGTCATGGTATTGTTTCAGATATACCCACCCATCAATGTCCTTCCATCTCTCTCTCGGTTGATGAAGGTGAGATGGCTTACCAATCGAGCTTTACAAAACTGGGTCCATTACTTTAAGATGCTATCAGGATTTCATACCGAAATTTAGTTCTAAGAATTGTCAATAATTCTTTGCAGAGTGCTATTGGTGAGGGTATGACCCGTCGTGACCATTCAGATGTGTCTAACCAGGTACTTACTTGAACACTGTATATTTGGTTCCCTTTCTAGCCAATTGTAACATACAGAGGAATCACACATCCTGCTTTCTGTTCAGCTTTATGCCAACTATGCTATTGGAAAGGATGTCCAGGCCATGAAAGCAGTCGTGGGAGAGGAGGCTCTCTCTTCTGAAGATCTGGTCCGTAACTGCTCACCAGCCAACTAAGTAAACCAGCCCATGGGCTCATGGTCTTTTTAGAAATCAAAGAATCTAATGTACTGTTTTTTTTGCTTGTGCAGCTTTATCTAGAATTCCTTGACAAATTTGAGAGGAAATTTGTAGCACAGGGAGCATACGATACTCGGAACATCTTCCAGTCACTTGACCTAGCATGGACATTGCTCCGCATCTTCCCTCGCGAGCTTCTCCATCGTATCCCCGCGAAGACCTTGGATGCGTTCTACAGCAGAGATGCTGCCCACTGATCTCATCTTTGTTGGGAGATCCAATGTTTTCTCGAGTGCAGATTGAATAAATTGAGCAGTTCAAACTTCTGGCCTTTTTGCTGTAGTAATTATATAGTCAGATCCCATTCTTTGAGTCAGCGAGCATATGTTATCTGTAGATTTCTTGGGTCACGGCGTCTTCTGTAATATTATTGTCTTGTGTAATATCATCTCCTGTATTGTTGAATGTTGAACCAACGCACATGAGCTCTTTTTTGGTTTCACTTACCGGAACTGTTAGCAAGAGCATTCTAGGCCAAGATGCTCGAACACGCTGGTTGTATCTACTTTTGTGTATGAATAAAGATGGGGCAATAAACTGTGCTGGACTGCACGTGCTGGTGTACATCGTCAACTACATGGGTTCTGTCTGTAACCTCTAGGCTGTAATTATTTTCTCTTGGTACTAATTTACTTTTCTGGGAAGGGGAGCCTTGGCGCAGTGGTAAATCTGCTGCCTTGTGACCATGTCACGGGTTAAGTCCTGAAAACAGCCTCTTAGATAGAAATGTAGGGAATGGACCCTTCCTGTAGAAACATGTCCAAGCCGGAGCTACATGCACCGGGCTGTCTTCTTTACTTTTCTGAAACTTGAAACGCACAGTAACTTGTTGCCGTGTGCATGAGAAAGTTGCAGTGGAGACTATTTTACCAGGGGTTGCAAGTTGCGCCGAACCAAGCGTAGAGAAAGCGTAGTGTAGTCATTTTGGTTTGCCTCGTCTTTTTAATGTTGATCGTTTCGGTGACTTTGAATGATCGCTTTTGAACGGTTGTTCAAACTTGGTTTGGTACTGGGATATACTTAAATTTCATTAGTGCCTTTCTGTTAACATTTTAGAGTATTTGGTTTTGTAGCTGTACGATAGATTCTTTCTACCGAGTGTTATATGTGGAATTTTGAAGTGAAAGAAAATGGGGGGACCAGTCACTTATGACTGCCTAATGGGCGGCTCCTGAGAGGCTGAGCCATAAGCAAATCGAAATTAAAAATTTGGTTACCGTTGATCTTGGACATGTAATAAACTATTACCGGCGCCTGTGTCGGTGGATCACGAGCATGGTCGGCATTGTCAACTTACGAAGTTGGAAGTGCAGGAAGAAATAATATAACAAAGAATTGGAGACACTCGTTTCAGTGACAAATTAATTCAGACGGAGGAAGTATGTCATGTTGTCAAGAGAACTGTTGAAGAAGGTAAAGTGCCATCTAATACGTGCGAGTAGAAAATACATACTCCCTGCGTAAACTTAGTGATCTAAATGCTCTTATATTAGTTTACAGAGATACTACAAAATAAAAAAAAGTCTTTGAGGTAAAGTGTTTTTCAACAAATGCACCTAAATTTTTCTTTCTGGTGACTCCAAAATGATGAAAGTGATATGAGGTTGACGGGAACCATCCAGTGCAGGTCGGAATAAGACGGCTCCCCTGTCGGTGGGGTTTCCATTTTGAATTTTGTTCCGCACGACACATACGTAATCCATTTCCTTTCATTATGTCGACGAATCACGGCCGTTTATCGGCTCATTGCACTTGCACCCTTCCGTAGGCCGTCGTAGCTCGGGACTTCCCCACCACCAGGGCAGGCACCACCCCCATTTTCTCTTCTCGGCACGCACACTACTGCCCCGCTTCTCCCCCGCCTCGCCTCACCCGACATGGCGATCGCCGGCGGCCCGCGCGGCCGCCTCCTGCTCCTCCCCCTCTTCCTCGTCGCCGCCGCCGTGTGCCTCGTCTCCACCCCCGCCCGCGCC